GAGTGGCCACTGCACTCCAGTCTGGGCGACAGAGTGAGACTCCAACTCAAAAAAAAAAAAGAAAAAGAAAATATCTCACCCAGTCAGAATGGTTATGATTAAAAAGACAATAAATAAATAAATAATAGATGATGGCAAGTATGCAGAGAAAAGGGAACACTTACACATGGTGGGAATGTAAATTAGTACAGTCACCGTGGAACACAGTGTGAAGACTGATCAAAAACTAAACATAGAACTACCATATGATCCAGCAATCCCACTACTGAGAATTTATCCAAAAGAAAAGAAATCAATATATCAAAAATATACTTGCACCCCCCATGTTTACTGCAGCACTATTTACAATAGCAAAGACATGGAACCAACTTAAGTGTGTATCAATAGACCAATGACTAAAGAAAATGCGGTACATGCACACAGTGGAATACTATTCAGCCATAACAGAGAAAATCATGCCTGTGACAATATGGATGGGACTGGAGGACATTTTGTTAAGTGAAATAAACCAGGCACAGAAAAATATTGCATGTTCACTCATGTGGAACCTAAAAAAGTTAATCTCCTGGAGATGGAGTAGAATGATACCAGAGGCTGGGAAGGGTGTGTGTGGGTGGGAGAAATAGGGTGAAGAGTGGTTGGGTAATGGGTACAAGCATACAGTAAAAAAGAAGGAATAAGTTCTAATATTCAATAGCAGAGTAGAGTGACTATAGTTACCAACAATATATTGTATATTTCAGTATAGCTAATATAGAAGACTTGAAATGCTACTAACACATAGGAATGATAAATACTTGAGGTGATGGATACCCTAGATACCCTGACTTGATCATTACATTCTATGCATGTAACAAAATAACATATATACTCCATAAATATGTACAAATACCATATATCAATAAAATAATGTTTTAAATTTTTTAAAAATAAAAAAGACTCATTTTTCCTTACTCCACTTCTACACTATTCACCACAGTGAGTTCAGCGAAGCACTTTCAGAACTCAAAGTTATAAAATTGTTAAGAGGCGAGAACAGGCCAGGCGCAGTGGCTCAAGCCTGTAATCCCAGCATGCTGGGAGGCGGAGACGAGAGGATTGCCTGAGCCCAGGTGTTCAAGACCAACCTGGGCAACTTGGCGAGACCTCGTCTCTACAATAAGTCAAAAAATTAGCTGAGTGTGGTGGTACACACCTGTAGTTGCAGCTACTTGGGAGGCTGAGGCAGAAAGATCTCCTGAGCCCAGCAGGTGGAGGCTGCAGTGGCCGTGAGCATGCCACTGCACTCTAGCCTGGGTGACAGAATGAGATTCTTAAAAAAAAAAGGCAAGAACAGCAAAAGTCACACCAAAAGCCAGAAAGAAGTATTCCAGGGGAAAAATAGCACAGGTTGGCCAAAAAATATAAAGAAATCTTGAATGAAAAGGCACTAGTGTTATTAGCAATGAATGTATTGAACAAAAAGGGGAGACTTGGCCTACACTAGGGCAGGCAGGAGAGCCAAGCAAGGAGTGGTTTCAGAACCAGACTGACAGAAGAGACATGGCAGGTCTTGTTTGCTATGTCTAGCCACCAGCCCCATGCTTAAGCAGTGTTCTGGCATCCTGTATATTTGCAAGCATATTCCAGATGTGGAGGTGAAGGCATCCAATATTTATAGTTCAATGCCACCAGCCATTAAGATGACCCACCTTGACTAAAGGAAGATGTTGCATCTCGAAGGCAGAGGATATAACCCAGGAGAGTGGGAAGGGGAGACCCTGGATGACGCTGAGGCCCAGTCCAGTTTGGAGAAGGGACCAAGGGATCAAGGAGGGAGGTTTCCCAGAGAAAAAAATAAGATTTGAAATGTGTGCTATCCTTGGTAATTTGGAACAACTTAAAGATGCAGAAAGGGCAAATAATGCAAAGAGAAAAGAATTAGAAACTTCAAGTAAACAATTGGACAAGAAAGGAAGTATAGTTATAGCATGTATAGGAAATATTTGCAATCATGTATTGCATTAAGTATTTTGGGAATAGAGGTGAGGGGAATGGGGCTAGAAACTGAAGCATCAAGTATTGACAGAGCCTCTCCTTTTTTTTTTTTTGAGAAAGCAGGATTTATTGAGAGGACAGAAGAGCTCCCACAGTGGGAGGGTATCTGAAGGGGTTACCCCAGAGCCTCTCCTTGACCAAACTCTGAATCCTTTCTCAAGTAGGCTTCAACCTTCAGCCATAATGAAATGGACAAAACACTAACATAGTTTTGACAGCTCAAAGCCTCGTCCCAGGATGACCTTAGCCCCCTTAAAATGCCTGCTTAAGAAAACTCAAGACTACCAAAAGAATTTGCTGTTTGTTCCAGCCAATACCTAAAGATAATATCCCTGTCTCCAAGCCTCTGTGGGAATGTAGGAGCCTAACTGTGATTGCTTAATTAATTCTGGGTTTCCTCTTAGAGTGATGAAAGCATTTTGTAAATATATGGTGGTGATGGTTGTACAACAATGTGAATGTACTAACTGCCACTGAAGTGTAAACTTAAAAGTGGTTAAAATGGCAAATTTTGGCTGGGCACAGCGGCACATGCCTGTAATCCCAGAAATTGGGAAGCTGAGATGAGATGATTGCTTGAGACCAGCCTAGGCAACATAGCGAGACCTCATCTCTACAGAAAAAAAAAAAAAAAAAAATTAGCCAGGCATGGTGGTGTGTGTGTAGTCCCAGCTACTTGGGAAACTGGAGAGGAGGGAGGACCACAGTGAACCATGATCGTGCCACTGCACTCCAGCCTAGGTGACAGAGTGAGATCCCAACTCAAAAACAAAAACTCTTTTAAAGGCAAATTTTGAGTTGTATATGTTTTACCACAATCTTTAAAAACTGTAATATACCAAAACCATTGAACTATACTTTAAATGGGTGAATTGTGCAGTAAGTGAATTGTATCTCAATAAAGTTTTATAACTTGTACATGAATGTTCACTGCAGTACTATTCACAATAGCCAAAAAGTGGAAACATACCTGTATCTTAAAATATATTTGTTCTGGCCGGGCTTGGTGGCTCAGCCTGTAATCCCAGCACTTTGGGAGGCCAAGGCGAGTGGATTGCCTGAGCCTGCGGTTCGAGACTGTAGTGCCCAAGAGATTGATTGGAGAGACCACCAAGAGCCAATTCCGATGAAATTTCAAGAGGATCTTTTATTTGCAAGCTGGAGCCTGGGCCTCTGTTGCCAACCAACGCAGCAGAGTACAGCCAGAGGCCACGACCCTTCTAAGCAGGCAGCTTTTATTGTGGTTACAAAGGGGAAGGAGTTCGGGTGGGGAATTTCCAGACTTGTCCCCGTTTGATTGGGTGACAACCCTTGGTGGTCAGCACACTTGCAGAGGATTGGCTCATTCTTGCTTAGGCCGACCTCAGAACACTAACTGATGAAGTTGCAGAAACTTCTGGAAATCTAGGCAGTTTCTTGCTAGTACCTGCTGCGGAGAAGTGGGGCAAGGGGAAGGGTTGGGGTCTATGCTGTAACCTTGTGGTTTTCTTTGCAACTGAAGCTCAGGTTGCGAGACATCTGAGGATTTTATCATGGGGTCGTATCCTGTTCTGAAATGGCCGCATAAAGCTAAAATGGCTGTGCTGCTGTTAACAAGCCGATTATAAATTCTCTAAAGTACTACAGTGAACTTCTAACTTAAACTTACGGGGTCTCATGCACTTGTGGCCCTTTCGGAGACCAGCCCGGGAAACCTGGCGAGACTTTGTCTCTACAATAAATCAAAAAATTAAGCCGGGCTCGGTGGCTCAGCCTGTAATCCCGCGCCTTGGGAGGTTGAGGTGAGTGGA